AGTTACTCGAACTCGGACAACTTATTCTTACACTGTGGCTTGGACCCAACAACCGTTTTTTTAAGGGCGGAGCTCCTTATAGCGTGGGTCTGTCGCTCCTCCGTTTGTATGTATGTATGTATGTATGTATGTATGTATGTATGTATGTATGTATGTATGTATGTATGTATGTATGTATGTATGTATGTATGTATGTATGTATGTATGTATGTATGTATGTATGTATGTATGTATGTATGTATGTATGTAGTCATCGGTGGCACATACCCGCTCTAGAGCGGTTATGTGCCACAGTGGTTGTGAGAGGGGAAATGGCGGTACTTAAAGTGTTCACTAGATGGACGCACAGACGGACGGACTCGCAAACGGACGGATGGACGCGCGGACGTACGTACTCACGAACGGACGAACAGGCGTGTGGACGGACTCACGGATGGACGGAAGCAAAAAAGAACGGGCGGACGGAAGCACGGATGGGCTGACGGACGCTTCGCCCCACTCATCATCATTCACTCCGTGGATATGCTGTGATTTTTTCATTTTATTGGAAAGCATGATTTAAATTAACGGATTTGATTTTTATGTAAATGAAAATAGAGCCCTATAAAACAAAATGACTGCCATACACGATCTTATTTGTATCCCCCCTTGTGAATTTTCTGGATAAATGATATTGCTATACTTGCAATATGTTAATCGAGGGTCAGTATGTGCTCCCTTTAAAGAACGCGTGAAGGGAAATTTTCACAACGGAATTTAATGTGTATATAATAGAATTTTTGAAATTCAACGTGTCGTGAAACCTATATCATGAGCGCCGTCGTAGAGGAAAATTCCGGAAATTTCGGCCGCACGGGGTTCTTGAACCTGCACCGAAGTGTGTGATGCGTGCTTCAAGCATTTTCGTCTCCACTGAAAATATGCGTCCACCGACCGGGATTCAATCTCGCGATCTTCGTGTCACAGCCGAGCAACTGTGTTTCATTCACAATTTCTTTTAAAAGGTACTGCATAAATCGTCATTCCACATAATTAATGCTGCATGCTCCAACTACCCCACCTTGGGGAAGTGCGCGTGCCAACAGCAGGGCAATCATTATGACCTCTTCGCGGGGTCGGGGTCTCTGTGATCACCACTGGCCAAGCATCAGTCAATTCTGACATACTGACACCAGACCTGACATACTGTATAGCTCGTCTCCTACATCACAGCTACTGTTCTCGGCAGACGCAACTTGTTCACGTCGCCTGCCTTAAAGCCCTGTCATCCACGCGACTCCGCGCTCACGTAGCCATTACTCGCCCAGCGGGCTTCGTCAGTAAGTACGACAATAGAAGAGGAGGACCAAGAGCGCTTGTCTGGCGAGCGTATCGGTACCGGTGCGGCAGCCAATAACCCTTTTTCATCAACCTACCTTTAAAATATTTCCAAAAGAAACCCTGGTGGGATACAAAGCAACAGCGTTGCGCACGGGTGGCTTCACGGGTTGAACAGCGCTAACGCGGGTGCTCGCGTGAGCGCTGGAAGATTCGCGAGTGGCGGTACCGGCAGGTGTTGCGGGTGAACGGATGAGGTGGCAGCTGCAGCGAGCGCGCGGCAGGCGAGGGAGAGATTGACATCAGCGTGCACTGCGAGGGGTGTGTGACGTCAACGCGCAGCTGCGGCGTGACCTACTTGGTGCCACTCCGTACGGACGCACGGAGGGGCAGCGTTACACAGTCTAGTCAAAGGGCTGCTTCGCATCTAAAAAGATATTTCATCGTAACAGTTTTGGTGAGAGGTGTTGGGTATACAAAATAACGGCGCTCTCGACTAACGACAACGCAGCGACTGCAGAGGCGCAACTCGTGGAGCATCACCGAAGCAGACGAATCGCTGGTCCGCCGCTTGGGCATGATGCACAGGCCCAAGCAGCAGTGGAAAATGAATAAGGTCATTTGTAATCTAAAAGGTTACACCCCGGCGTACTATAGGTAACAATCAAAACGAAGATACGAATCAACGATTTTTGAGCGCTGTACGAAAATCAACCTCCATAAAAATGAATTCAGTGAAAGCGCTCCCGTCGGAAATTATCGAAAAAATTGAAGCTGTGTTTAAATGCATTAGCTTTAGCAAAGTATTGAAGGACTCTATAGTTTTGGTTAACATCGATCAGTTTCAGTGCTTGCTCATGATTGTGTCGAGTTTTCCTGGTGTCTAATGGTTTTACTTATTAAATTTACTTTTCTATGGGTTATGCAAGAACCGATCCGGGCACATTTTTGGAGCAGTAATTTTGGAATATCATAAGTTTGATTGGATAAGCATAGTATATCTCGGAATTTCGGACCCCTTAACTCTATTTTGTTAACTGCGCTGACCAGCTTCATGCCTCACTTTCACAATTACAAACATGCCAGTGCCTACAAAAAGTAATTGAAGCTTTGTCACATATTTATCTGACCGCTAACGACGCATGTAGTTAATTCGCGAACTAGTGGATTAGCGAAACACAAATGTGTGCGGCCAATCAACCTGCATAGGCTCTGAAACACTGATTTGTCTTGATGTCTTGATTTATTTATTAGTCAATTAATTATTTAGCACTATTTATACGCGCGCTTCTTCTTTCACTGTAATGTATGCGGGTTTCGCCCATTAGCTCAGCGCAGACCGCCGCAGTTGTTTGAAGTAATTCTGCGAAGATACGCGCAGAATACTAATAGTAAAGTGGCTTGCGCGAGTACTATAGCGATGACGCTGGAATTTAGATTCTACGGCACGTGTAAAAGACGACGAGAGCCGCCGATGATCAGATTATCGACGGCCGGCACTTTGTTCGCCGCTATCAGTAATGATAATAAGCCACCATGCTATTATGAGAGACGCCGTAGGGGAGGGCTACGAAAATGTTGACCAAATCTATTAGACACACGCGGGCCTCGAGCATTTTCGCCTAAATCAAAAATGCGGCCTCCACGGCCGGGATTCGATCCCGCGACCAGCGTGTCAGCCTCAGCAGTCAATCACCATCTGCAGACCATCGCGACGGGTCATGCTACGAAATCAGTATACGTGCGCACGTTGCTGATTTGAAATTCAAGCCTATGACGTCACGCTGACACATGCCTGCGCTGGGATTTCAGCGCATAAATATAAAAATAAAATTAAACAAACTGAATTTGAACTTCGCTTGTAAATTAATCACACCAGCAGTAAACGGGTATTTCGCGAAAACGAATTTCTAGGATAATGCAGATACTCACGAGTTTTTAGACTGACCTCGTACTTGTGTTTAGTCACATAGAATTTATCAAGTGCGCCAAGTGTTGAATCGAATATAATAAGAGCCATTAGGTGCGGTCTCTAGCGCTATGGACCCTATCAGCATAAAATATTTGTTGCAACAGTTTTAAAGGGGAAACCTGCATGGCGATTTTGGTATTGTGACAGGGTAATTTGTAAAGTACTAGTACGAAATAATAATAAAAAGAAATTGTTTTCACTTTAGAGTCGCTAGCTTCCGCTGTTATCGCCAGTGGCTCGATATGCATGCCATTCGCTACGCGTTATCAACAAAAAGGGCCGGTCTGAAATCGATCACTGATAAGAGCCTAGAATCGGTGCAAACAAAAACCATGCGCGTAACGCCTGAAACGTCATTATTAATGTGCACCGATCAACCCAGGTAGTTAATGAATGAAAACTGTCGCTGCGAATTAAACGTGAACGCTGTTGAATAATTATTTCTCGATTGCGTTCACACGAGCCATGGAAGGAGCCACACAAGCGTGTAATCCAAGGTCATGGCACCTGTGCAATTAAAGAAGCCGCCATGATTAAGTGGATAGCTTCTGAGAAGCATTGCCACGCCCACTCGCCACTCCCACTAAACCAGTTTTAAATCTCGACAAGGACACACGCTGGTGCAATCTGCGTCAATCCACACCATCTGCTTTCGTCCCAGCCACTATTGTGGTCACTGCAGAAGAAATCCGCGCCGAACATCCTGTGCCAGTTGTCTAAATAATGCGAAGTGGTTTTGTAGCAATCACTACCATATTTAATGGAACGGATTTTCGCTGCTTAAGGTCGACATTCACGTTACAATCCTATAGCAAAATAACAATTTTTGCTTCCTGGACGCAGTGGAAAGTTATTCCCCGCGGTACAAACGCGGTCACACGCGCATTACAGTCGAGTAAATACGGTACATATGCGAACTGCTGTGTCCGGAATAATTCTCAACAACTGCCAGACGCATCGAGAAATTAGTAGCGTGGTTGAAACACTGAAGCATTAAGCGATACCGGCATGACACGACAAAGACTCGCGTGTTTTTTTGTTCCCGATGACGTTCAGTATCACGCGCTTGCATTTCCCGCGCTTTTTGTTGTATTGCGGCGTTCTCCGCTACGGACTCGTTGCTATGCTGCATCGGCACGACGTGTTCCTCTTATTGTGTCCGCAAGCATCATTCTGTGGTTTCCCGCTTTGTGCCGCTCTAGTTTCACCAGTACTAGGGAGCCTACATGACCGGCTGTCTATGTAGGCTCCCTAACCGGCACAACATATTCATGTCTACGAACGTGGGATCGTAGGCTGTCGTAGGTTCGAGACAACAAACCCCCTTCAACAGTTATCGTTTTCGTACTTTCTTCGTGCGACACTGACTGTCTGTAGCGATTAATTTTACGTGACGGGTGAACAGAATTTCTTGTTGCGTAGGCATGTAAATGCGAATTCAAATGATTGTGGTTGTTTGTTACGATTTACAACGGCCTGCATGCTGAGCGTCTGCTACACCACGCCCACTTTCACACTCACGCGATGTCTTTTTATTTTGAAACAATAAAACAACAAAAATTTTTATAAAATTTATTCAAATCTTATAGTACATTTTAAGTGAAATGATATATACGTGACAAAATACAAAAAAATAGTACCGCACTGATAGTTTCGTGCGGGCCTGTGAGCAATCGTTCTCTCCGCTCTCCTCCTCCCTCTATGGAGAGAGGATATACAAATCCAAAACCTGCGCTGCCTGCGCGTTTACGGCGATTTGACGAACGTGTGCTGCTCGCGTGTTTGCTGGAGTTGCCGTGTAGTTCTCAAGCTCGCGTGCTTGAACAAATGTTTGGAACACCGTGAGGTCGGCGAGTAGTGCCGTTTCAGCTCGTGCTGCTAGCAGATGCCGTGTGTCTAGCGGCGCTCGTTGCAAATGCGCCAGTCGTGGAACCATGCCAGTCGCTGCTGGTGTCCAGGAAGGATTCACCACTGATGCTACGGTGCGTGCTGCGATGTCCGTGTACGGCAACTGATCGGCCGTCTGTGCGCTACGTTTGAGTGAGTGACGAGAGTGAGACAATGACCGTCGAGCACTCTCCCTTGGACGGCCACGCCAAGAAGGTGAGACAGAGCTTGACCAGCGTTAGGCTTAGGTCGCGAAGGTCGAGCGGCGTTCGTGGGATGCGGCGCTCTCTTTTTTTCCGTTACGTTTGAGGTTTCGCTGATGACGCTTTAGTTATATTTTTGCTCCGGTGACCTGGACGTGCGGCAACGTGCCACGTTTTTCCTTCCTTCCTGCTGCCAGTGATCCTTCGTTTTGTCTTCAGGTTTTTTATTTATTCTCCGAGCCGGCAAGAGCTCGAATGTCACCGGTGTTGGCTGGCAGCGCTTGCGGAGGCTGCTCGCGGCCGCCGAACGGAAGTCGCTCCGCCGATGCGGCTTGAAAGCGCTCAGAGTTCATAATTTCGGGGAGAGTGGTGCGATTAATTAGCGTCGACGTTTAGTTAATTGAAATTGCTGTCTAGCGCGTTATAACTGGTTGTCTTATGATGAGCACGCGACAGCGCAGCTTGTGAACTACGCTTCACGAGCAAGTGGAAGAAGGAGGTAACAATGTTGGCGCTGGTATTGTCACTCGTGGTACTGAACGCGTCACAGCCGGTTCTTCCTTTAACCGCAGATGTTTAGGAGGCGAGTCGCCGCCGAGCGGCGAAGTGCTAGTGTTTTCCTTTGACGTGCTTGTGTTTCGTCTGCGTTACCTGCCGACTAAGGCTGAGAAATGAGTTAGTAACTGGCACGTCGTAGTTGTGCTCGTTTCCCCATAAATTTATGCCCCGCGAGTTAAAGGCCTAACCTTGAGCGTTTCAGAAGTCGAGCGGAGACCGATGCCTACTCGAACGAGCCGGTTAGAGACGGCCCGCTCTGCATATGTACTGCTCTAGTTTTGACCCTCGGGATATTCGTGAGGATTACACGGGATCTAAATGCTGGTATGAAATGCGCTTAAACGATGCGTTTTTCTCATTCGTTTTTTTTTCTGCGTAATTAATCGGATGGGGCGTTAACATTTGCTCCAAGTCTGGTACGGGTTATAGCGACAAGGACACGAGCGCTTGTCTCTGTGTCGTTTGTTCTCGCGCTATAACTATCGTCATGCCATACCAACTAGCCCAAGCTGCCACACTTCTGGTACGTGTGTCACGCGTATTCCCGTTCTCATCGTGCTTATTGCCAACCGCAATTGAGGCACTGTGTCCTAATGTCGGGCCCAACCTGAGTCTAAATGAAAGTTCGGTCGCAGTCAAGTTGGGGGACGAGATTTCTCGATCCCAGTTGACTGCCCTTCCGCTTACTTCCGCAGCTTGTGCAAATGAGCCAGTCCCGTTCAAAAGCCGCACCATGTAGCAGCCGTATGATATGCGTAGGTGGGAATATTAACTCATTTTAGCAGCCTTTAATTCGCGCATCAACTTACCATGAACATTAACATACGTTTTTTTTTTCTTAAGTGGGGGCGGGGTGCATTCATGCTTTGAGCTAGGGTGCGTGTGTATGTAGTGCACTATTTCGGGGGGGGGGGGGGGGGTACCTTCCTTCCCCTCCTGTCAGCCCTGACTATGCCAGGGATCGCGCGAATAGCCGAAGATATCTGTACGGTGCGGTTTGAGTTGTAACATTTTTTGGAGACTTCGCATGATGCACGTCATGATAACTGCATTTGGCCATGTGAACTGTTCATATTGTAAAGACTGCGCATTGAAGAAGTTGTCTGAAGCACTTAAATCGCTACAGGGCTCCTCAAATGTTTTTTTGTACTTGTGGAAGAGCTTAGGCTACAGCATTCTGAAATCATTTGCACCATGAATCAAATGCAGCACTTACTGTCAAGCAGCTTGGACTTCCCTGTTCACAAACAGTGCGAACTCGCAGCTAGTGCCTCCCCCTCGGAGCAGGCACCACTTGGCAAAAGTTCTGCCAGTGAAATCTTTCTGCATACCAGTGCTGCGTGTGTCTTCACTCCTTCTGTAGAAATTTCTGCAAATTGCTATTTTCGAAGTGGCAGCTTTTAAAAGGAGGAGTCATTGCATGTAATGTGAGATTCTATTTGGTCAACATATAGTGATCTGCTTGTCATAGGTGACAGGAATAAAAAAAATTTTATACTCATTGAAAGCGAACGTCATACATTTTCAGAATGGGTGCTTAGAGAAATACTTGCATGATGTGGATGTGAACATACTCAATTTCTGTCGCAACATCTGCGCTGCAGTTTAGATGAGGTACAGCATTGACGGCAACATGTTTTCGAACTGCTGTGTGTGAGGCCACAGATTGGTCAATTGTGATGCAAAGTTATGATCAGAGATGAATGAAAAACTAATAAAGGAAATATTTCTTGCCATTGGTTACGTTGAGGTTAACGAATCCCCCGTGGAAATTAAAGCAAATTTTTCCCATACGGCATTCCTCATAACCTACTGAGCAGTTTTGTGTTGTTAGACACAATTATATTGTGGGCATTTGTTATTTCATCTTCATCCCTGCATGATCATAATCAGCATCACCCACTCGTCTCTTCGTTCTCATTGCCCCTGTGTGTTATCGTGGGGGTGCAAGCTCTGCACATTCGTTTTGTGAGGTCTTGCCTTTAATAAATGTTGCTGGAACCGAGACTAGGTGGATTTTTCATCCTCTGTCTTCTCGCAACCCGCTCTACCCCCTGAAGCTTCGTTCAGGCCGCCGCTTGTGCCCACTGTCCGGCAGCATGTCGCAGAACGAGCCTGCCAGCGCTGATACCGTCACCCTTCTTCCGCTCAATCCGCCCCTCCCGTTTCCGTACACGGACACCAGTGTGAATCCCTGCTCTTTGCTGGTCCTTGTGGAGGAGACGTAGAAGACTGACTTGATGACTGCGATCGCGTAATTGCTGCTAATCTGTAGGATGAGGCTGCCAAACTGCGTTACGTTCCTTTCTATCTGATTGAAGTCGTGAAGACATGGTATTTCAACCACGTCATTGACTTACACAACTGTGGTACCTTCCAGCAGCAGCTTCGGCACGTTTTTGGAACACTGACCATTCGGTCCGCAGCCGTGAAGAGGACTCTCGATACTCGCCGACAACATCCCGGCGAATCGTTTCCTTCCTACATGTAGAATGTCCTTGCACTGTGCCGGCGTGTCAATTCATCCATGCCGAAATCGGACAAAGTATGCCACTTTTTGAAAGGCATAGGAGCTGTTGCTTTTAAAGCCCTCACTGCAAAAAACCCAGCTACTTGATGCGCTGGACTCCGTTTGTCTCCAACCAGACATTGGTGATCACCACTCCATGTTTCATGGCGATCTGCGTGACCTCATACTGGACATTATACGCGAAGAATTGCAGTCTATGTTCTTCACACCTCCTTCAACGCACTCTACACAGTCTTCTAGGGTGCCCTTGCGTGACATCATCAGGGAGGAACATGCGTCACTGACTGGCTCTGCGCTCGTACAACCACCTACTTTTTGCCCCATATGAGCCTATGCTCAAATTGCTGCCACGCCTCCCTGAGATGTACACATGACATTGCCGCTATCATCCTACGCATTGGTTGCTGCCGCTCCGCCGGTCAACTACCGTACGTCTTCTGACCCTTCGGCCCACTTGACCAGGCTACCTTCAGGTGCTCCGAACACCTTCTACTTACCCGCCCTGGTGCTCGTCCCCCTCTGTCTGCTATTATTGCGGCTATTGTGGCCACGTATCTCATTTCTGCCGAAAGCTCCAGTAAAATGAGCGTTGGGGTTACGACATGCGCGAACGAGATTTGTCCACTGAGGCCTTTTATCAAGGTCAGCATTATTCGTTTCCTCCACACCCGTCTCCATCTCCACCTGCATCGACTGCACCGCGGAACAGCCGAAACACGAGATGTTGTTCGCTTTCGTGCTTCCACCGTTCCTCTTCTCCACTTTGGCCCGCCTCATTCTCCTCTGATAGTCATTTGGAAAACTATATGATACAGTTTGTGGAGGAAGAACTGCATTTGAAATTAGAACTCAAATTCCCCCATCACGTCCGTGTAACATGATTTTTGTGGAAGTTCAAGGAGTGTGTGTAGATGCTTTGGTAGACACGGGTGCCACATTTTCTGTTACATATACCGATTTGTGTGAACATCTAAAGAAAATAATGACGCCTTACGATGGTCACAGGTTAGCTGCTGCCCAGGGGAACATCATTCGCTCTTCCCCATTTTGTACTGTGCGCGTTTTCGTTGGCGGCATCCACCATCATGTCCAGTTTGCTGTCCTGTCACGCTGCTTTCACCAACTAATTTTAGGGTGGGATTTTTTATCATCTGCTATAATGCGGCTATTTGTTATGGACAAAACGTCGTCCACGTTATTGACGCAGACTACATGCTCGACGACAAACAGCAGCAACTTGACAACTTCACAGTCGCAGCAGCTGCTTGCATTGTTACAGAAACACGCAAATTCTTTCAATATTTGCTCGTCTACGCTGGACCGCACCACTGCCACAGCACATCGAATTCGAACAGTTGGGATGCATCAGTGGTGTACATCTATCATACACTGCCGACCCTACAGAGTGTCTCTAGCTGAAAGAAAAATTATAGAAGGAAACGTTGCCGACATGCTTAAACAGGAAGTCATCTTCCGTCATCAGCCCTTGGTCATCTCCTGTTGTTTTGGTCTGTACAAAGGATGGCTATGTGTTTTTGCTTAAAATACAGGGCGCTTAAAGATCACACGCAAGGACGTGTACGCCATGCCATGCTTTGACAATGCCCTTGATTCTCTACAAGGCGTGGAATGCTTTTTAAGCCTTGATTTGTGTTCTGGGTCCTGGCGAATTCCCATGCATGAAGGTGATAAGGAGAAAACAGCGGTCGCAACCCCCTGATGGGCTATATGAATTCGGCGTGATGCCTTTTGGGCTCTGCAAAGCGCCCGAGACTTTTGAGCGCATGATAAACACCGTGCTGCATGACCTGAATTGAAAAACTTGGCTTTGCTACATATATCACATTGTCATCTTTTCATCAACGTGTCCTGAGCACCCAGAACGATTGAATCAAGTTCTGACGTGTCTTGCCGGCGCCGGTCTCCAAATAAACAAGAAATACTATTTTGCTAGCAAATCTACCAAGGTCTTAGGGCACGTCGTTAACAAACATGGAATTTGGCCTCACCCTGACCAGATTCCTGTGGTTCTTAGCTTTTCGCATCCAGAAAGAACGAAGGACTTAAGCAGTTTTCTTGGCCCTGCCTCCTTTTTTCGCAGTTTATCCAGAACTTCGCCTTCATAGCTGCTCCGTTACACCAGCTACTTGCTTGCTATGTCTCTTTTCTGAGGTCTCAAGAATGTCAAACAGCATTCGGCCTGTTAAAGGGTGCCCTCACGTCTGAACCTGTACTCTGCCATTTTGACGAAGCCGCACCGACTATCCTCCATACTGACGATGGCGGCTGTGGTATGGAGTCGTTTTTCTGCAATGCGACAACTCTTCCCTAAAGAGAGTTGTTGCATATGCCAATCAGCTACTGACCGCTTCCGAGAAGAACTACATGATAACTGAGCAAGAGTGTTTGGCTGTGGTTTGGTCGGTGCAGAGGCTCCGTCTCTATCTCTACGGCCGTCACTTCCCAATCGTTACGGACCACCATGCCTTATGCTGGCTCTCTACCCTGAAGAACTTGGGTTGGTGGACACGCTTGCAGTGGTATGACTTTGAGATAATTTTGAAGCTTGGTCTGTATCGTTGCCCGCTTCCTACTACCCATCTCGGCGTTAGCGAGAGCTCGACTACATCTACCGCAGTTCATACGCTTGCCTCAATAGGGCAACTCGTTCCGATGACGAGCCAGCATCTAGCTCCTGCTAGCGGTCCAAATTGTACTGCAGGCGCATTATAGGCCACCTTTCAGGAGCTTTTCATCCACCTAATGCGTGACTTTGTCGTCAGCACCTGCACTTTAAGAGCTGGACAATGGGGCTCTACCGCCAGATTTACCATCCTGACGGTCAGCACTGCGTTCCTGTGCTGCCACGTTCTCTTTGACATCGGGTGCTCGAAGCCTTCCACGATGGCTTGACTGCTGGCCATCTTGTTTTGAAAAAACTCTTGATTGCATCTGATGTCGTTATTACTGGCCTGGCCTTTGTTCTAGCGTAGTGCCGTACATCGGTTCCTGCTCCCATGCCAGCATCAAAAAGTCTCGACATCTGCACCTGCCGGACCTCTACAGCTAGTTCCGTGCCATTCGAGGTTGTAGGTGTCGACTTTTACGTGCTTCTCCCTGTCACATCTGCTGGCAAACGATGGATAGTGACCGCTGTGGACCACCTGACACGGTACGCTGAGACGTCCTTTGTCATTGCTGGCTGAGCTGTGGAAGTTGCTGACTTTATTCTTCAGGCCATAATCCTGTGTCATGGGGCTCTTCTTGTACTGCTTAGTGATCGTGGCAAAGTGTTCCTGTTACTGTTAAATGAAGTACTGGGCGCTTCTGGAACTACTCACAAGACGGATTCAAGCTACCATCCTCAGACCAACGGTCTCACCGAAAGATTTCATCGAACCCTTGCTGACATGACAGCTGTTTACGTCCAACCCGACCACAATAACTTGGATACTCTTCTACTATTCCTGACCTTCGCCTAAAACGGCCGTTCAGCGAACAACTGGCTACTCCCTGTTTGGACGTTCGCCTACTACCTTTCTCAACGTCTCCTACTTTAACAGCCATGTTGATTCATGTCTTGTCTTCTAGTGAATAATACATTTCCCGACTGTCCCAGTCTCGCCATCAAGCTCTCATCAATACTGAAGTGAGACAGTTACTGTTAAATGAACTACTGGGCGCTTCTGGAACTACTCACAAGACGGATTCAAGCTACCATCCTCAGACCAACGGTCTCACCGAAAGATATGATCGAACCCTTGCTGACATGACAGCTGTTTACGTCCAACCCGACCACAATAACTTGGATACTCTTCTACTATTCCTGACCTTCGCCTAAAGCGGCCGTTCAGCGAACAACTGGCTACTGCCCGTTTGGACGTTCGCCTACTATCTTTCTCAACGTCTCCTACTTTAACAGCCATGTTAATTCATGTCTTGTCTTCTAGTGAATAACACATTTCCCGACTGGCCCAGTCTCGCCATCAAGCTCTCATCAATACTGAAGTGAGACAGCAGGAGTGGTAGATTGTTTATGACTCATCCCATCGCGTTTTGTCATTCCGACATGGTGATGAGGGGCCGCTCTTGACACCTATTCTCACTCCTGGTCTCTGTGACAAATTCCAACCATGCTTCATCGTGCCATACATAGTTTTGGAACAGACTTCGCCTATCAATTATCGTGTCACACCACTTGTCGTCTCAAGAGACCACTGTTACCACAGCACCAAGATTGTCCACGATTATTGCATGAAACCTTTCACGCGACGTTCCTCGTTGCTTTCACTTACGGCTGCCAGGATGTCTGCTTCCAAGTGGGGGGGAATTAGTGTGGGCATTTGTTATTTACTTCTTCATCCTTGCATGATCATAATCACCATCATCCACTTGTTTCTTTGTCCTCATTGCCACTGTGTGTCATCATCGTCTGGGTGCAGGCTCTACCCGTTTGTTTTGCGAGGTCTTGCCTCGAATAAGCAGGCAATGGGAAACCCCTGCCCCCCGAGATGGCAGGGGTTTCCCCAGTTTTGAAAACCCTGCCATCTCGGGAGGTCAAAACCCTATGATGTCAATGCTGCTTTGGTACATAGTCATGTATATATATATGGTCGGTGTGGACAATCAGTTTAAACAATAAACAATTGTAAACTGGCTGTGTGTTTGTTGTATGGGCTTTTGTTGTCCTGTGTGCTCGAGCTAAGAAGCATACTTCTCACGAGCAGTGGTATTGCAGTACTAGTCACTTCAGGCACTAGTTTTTTCAGTACTTAGTCACTACTGTACAGTGTTGTCTTAAGTTGCTCTCTGCAACATTGAGGCATGAAAACTGTCACTGCTTGCTCGTCGGTGTGCTTGTGCAAGATGGTTTTGCCTTGTTGGTTTTTGCAGCAGCAGCAACAGCTGCAGCAACAGGAGGAGGCGGTCCGCCAGGTGATCAACCAGTTAAAGGAGATCACTGGTGTTGAGGATCCGGCCATCTTGAGTCAAGCTCTGGAGGCCAGTCGCACAGCCTCCGGCAACTACGACCTCACCCATGCCATCAGCATGCTAGTCGAAGAAGATGGTGGACCCTCTGTGCCTCAGGTGTGTACAACTGTCCCTCTGTTTGCAAGTCACCGTGAGGAAAGGCCGAGGGTTGCTGACAAGTGTCAGATTGGCAAGCTGTGTGGGAATGATTGATAATGCTTCCTGTACTAGTGGTGTACAAAGTGCTGTGCAATGCTATGGTCAAGTGTTAAAAGAAACGCATATTATTATTCAGATGAACATGGCATATTTGAGGGAGGGGGGTATACGCATTCACTGATAAGAGGTAATGAAACCTCATGAAAGGGAGCCGCATGGGATTGGGTGAGGCTCGTCTGGCAGTCGGACGCAGGTGTAGCAACCAGAAACGGCAGTGCTGTCAATGACTTTGGTGCAAAATGGGCACGAAAATGGACGGTGGCCCCGTTTTGTCCAATAGAACATATACAAAACAATCTCTGGACGACTTGGATTGGATCGAATTGTAAAGTCTGGGGCCGGATAATTGAATTAGCGGGCTTTTTGTCTGGCCTACTCCAATCCCACACACGTAGTTTGCGAAAATCGCAACAAGCTTGCGACCACCAAATTTCTCGCCTAGTTGTGAGACCACATTACCGTTCACTCGTGGCATTAACACACACACACAAAAAAATGTTGAAATCATAGCGCTTTTCAATTTCAAGCTTTGAAAAATATTTCCTGCCAATGTTGATGTTCAGCTATAATTATTCTGTACTTCTTCCTGTGTTGAAAACATTTATAAATTTCTTTGGCTTACTTATTGGCTGCTTGCTTCCTCTAGTCCTCTCGTGACATTTTATTTCAATCTGGAAACCATTTGGGACTGTTGTACTTAACAAACTGCTTCTTTATTATGGAATAAAAGATACATTACCTAATATTCTGATTTCACATATTGGAATTTTGGATGCCAAGGGCTGTAGTGAAATAAAGTTAACTTGGCATATTCATGCTGTCCTACTTTTGCTGTTCTATGACTCATTGAACTTTAGTGCTCTTTTTTCTAAATTTGTTTCAGGTTTCACAATTTATGTGTTGTGAAAACGGATTGATTGTGCTTCAGCAAGAACAAAATAATTCTTGCACTGCACGAGAACTGTGTAGAGTGCATAGTTTTGTTCAGGGGTGTCATCAAATCTGGCTGTACTTTTTATAGTACAATGATAATCTTACTGGTACTAGTACCATTAAAGAGTATGAAATGGAAGTTGAGGGTATAGTCACTAGACTGTACCTCCAACTATCTCGGGAAAAAAAATCAGGCAAAAATCTCATCAAAAGATAACGCACAGTGAAAGTCTCAAATGCAACTGAAAGAATTGAGCTAGTGGAGCTTTCAAAGTTAACCAATAGGCATAAGGTAGCCGTCATCAGAAAATATAGTGGAGAGAATCGAGCAGGTTGGAAAAAGCGTCGGAAGCCTAAAAGCTGCGGAGGAAAACTTGTGCGTAGGCAAAAATTAGATTTCTGTATTAAGTAACAAGGAAGGCAATGTCATAATGAATGTAGATAGGATAGTCTAGGTGCGGCGGAGGAGTTCTACAGAACCAGGGTAATATCGTCAGAAACAGTATTAATCCAGAGGGATTCGACATCCTGCGGGTAAAAAGAGGAAAAGTAAGGATAGCCCTAGAAAGAATGCCAAGAGGAAAAGCTGCTGGTGAGGTTGAGATAACTGACCTCCTGAAAGATGGTGGAGAAATTGTGCTAGAAAAACTGGCCACCTTATATACGAAATCTCTCATAACGGGAAGTGTGCCATAATCTTAGAACAACACCAAGAACATACTAATTCATAAGAAAGGAGACTTCAAGGACTTGAAAAATTACAAGCTGATCAGCTTGCGGTCTGTTCTCTAATAACTATTTACAAACATTATCACTAATAAAATTAAGGTGACATTGGAATTCAATCAACCAAAGGACCAAGCAGCATTTTGTACAGGCTACTCCACAATGGGCCATGATCATACAATCAATTGGGTAATACAGAAATGTGTGGAATACCACCAATCTTTTTACATATCTTTCATAGATTACGGGAAGGTGTTGGACTCATTCGAGACAACAGCAATAATGCAGGCACTTCAGAATCAGGGCATCGACTAATCCTACATAAACATACTGGAAGAAATCTACTACGGGTTCACAGGTACATTAGTTCTCCATTAAGAAAGTGAAAGAATCCCAATAAACAAGTGTGTAAGGCAGGGGGACACGATCTCTCTAATGCTATTCACCGCTTGTTTAAAGGAGGTATTCGGGACCCTAGGCTGGAAAGAGTTAGGCATAAGAGTTAATGGAGAGTATCTTAGTAACCTGCAATTCGCTGATGACATTGCCTTGATGAGTAACTTGGGGGACGATATACAGCTCATGATTACAGAACTGGACATGGGTAGCAGGAAAGTAGGTCTGAAAATTTATATGCACAAAACAAAAATAATGTGCAACAGCCTGAGCAGGAAGCAACACTTTAAGATAGGGGGAGAGGCGCTGTAAATTTTAAGGATTTCGTGTCTACATAGGATGGATAGTAACTGCGGAGCCGAACCATGAGCGTGAAATAACTAAAAGACTAAAACGGGGGTAGATCAAAATCGGCAAGCATTCTGAGATCATGAATGGTAATCTGCTACCAACCCTGAAGAGGAAATTTATGACAGCTGCTTCTTGCCAGTACTTGACTACGTAGCAAGAACCTGGAGGGTTACAAAGAGGCTTCAGCTTACATTGAGGGTGATGCAGCGAGCGATGGACAGGAAAAATGACAGGTGTAACTTAAGAGACAAGAAGGGAGCAGAGTGGGTCAGGGAATGAACTGGGGTTAAGGATATCGTAATTGCAATCTAGAAGAAGAAATGGATATGGGCCAAGTACGTAGCAGGCACGTAAGCAGGATAACCGCTTTTCACTAAGGGTAACTGACTGGATTTCCAGAGAAAGCGAATGCACGAAGGGGAGACAGAAAGTTAGGTGGGTCCACGAGATTAAAAAGTTTGCAGGTGTAACGTGGCAGCAGAAAGCACAAGACCGGGTTGATTCGCGGATCATGGAAGAGGCCTTTGCCCTGCAGTGGGCGCAGTCAGGCTGATGATGATGATGGGACTTTGTTGGTGCTCACATGTACCTAATGTTGTGCAGTGCCTCAGAGATTGAACCAGCCATTTTATTTTTAAAAATGCCCCCCCCCCCCCTTTCGCCTAGGTTATCTGAGACTCAAGAAGTTGCGATAGATGCCGCTGTGAATATGTGAGAGCCCGTTGAGGTTTTCAGTGTTGCTTAGACACTTGGGTGGAGAAGGGAAATGGCGATGGCACAAAGGGTGCTTTCTGTCAACAATGAAAAATATGGAAAGAGAGGAACGTGGAGAGTATAGTTTGTTTTGATAAATACAAAAGCATAATCACTGAGCTGCTGAACGACAACAGAGTACTCTGTATGTTCTGTAACCAGGTGGCTGTTCACTGAAAAGAAAAAAAAAAAGGTAGCCATATTGCGAACTCTTTTCAGCAGCTGTAACAATGGCATGGAAGGGGCTGAGCTCTACGACCATGCTGCAAATAACTACAGATATTTCATCTCCGATACAAAGTGGTACAGGTTTACACTTACCCAGATCATAGAAATGGCTGCAGGCAGCTCGTACAGGGTTCCGGACGTGTCGACTATTGTCCTTCAGTCGCATAATACCAAGACACTCATTTTACATTGTTCTACCTAACACAAGTGTCAAGAGATTTCTAGCGTCTGCTGAGCTTGCTGTTACTCTATCCATACTGATATCTTCAGGAATCTTGGAAAACAATGCAGATATGCCACAGTACATTGAAATAGTGCTGTAAGAAGCGTGACATTTATCTTTTCATAAAGTGCCGGCGCTTCAATATGCTGTATGGGCTTGGACGATTCTGGTATTCGTTTGACAAGAGCCTACTTACTCCCCATTCTTGCATCTCACCAGCTTTCATATTGCGGGCAAGCGTTTAGTGTCGTAACTTTTGCAAAAAAATCTTGAAACTCCATGAAAATTCGCACGTGTTGTGTATTGCATTAACGCAATGTGCAAAATATCAATAAAATTAAACTAGTGCTTCTTTTGTGGTCCTTAGTGTAATAACACGTGTTCCAAATTGCCTCCAGTTCTACAGAGGCCCTCGTGGTTGAAGACATGTAAAATTCTTGTCTTCCCGTGCGTAGCTCCAGGATACTGGAAAGTTAATACCTACATTAAAGAAGAAAGAACTTCTTAGTTATCGAATTTTGTCCTAATCAGAGATTCAAACTTTGAACTTTTCGATTAGAGCTTCGGATTTCAAAGTAGGGAATCTTTACTGAATGGCCTTTCTCTGCCTGTCGATCAACTATTTGCTCTAACCGGGAAGAGGGTGGCATATTTCTTGATGCTGATTCTTTTCTTGATGCTGATTATTCTCTTGTTGTTCCTATGTGCTATTAATTACTGTTTTATTATGTGCATATTACATATTATATGACACCCTTCCTGTAATGCCCCCAAGCAGTGGGTTGACAGTATGAAATAAATAAATCAAGTAAATAAATATTGTTTATGCTCAGCTGTAAGCTATTTGTGGTTTGACTGATCATGGAAATTGTAAATTCTGAGCCATAATCAATTCTTCTGTACTAATTTAGCGTCGCTTTTTAACAATTGGCTTGTAAATGAATGCTGGCAAATTTTTTCAATTATTGCTTTCAGTACTAAATGAAGTTTTGGAAGCTGCGTGTCTTATGGAAATTGCTGCTGAACATTCTAGCATCACAAACAATTCAATACAGCGAGCTTTCTGCAGCCACTTTAGTTTGGAAGTCACACTTGGTCACATTGTCACGGCGCTGAAAGTGCTCGCGTGGAAGTAGCACACCAAGACTTCATGAAGCATCGTTCTGCTTGCCATCCCTATAGTCTGCAAGAGAAAGAGAAATATACTTTATTGGGCAATCCTGCGTGGGGAGGGTGGGAGCACCGCGCAGGGTTCAGCGCATGCTGCTATTGTGTTCTCACCGTCACAGGAAGCGATCACGTAGTGAATATGGCAAAATCAGTCAATCGACCTTTTTTTTTTTTCATGTACAGGAGCGGCAAATAAAAGCACTTTTTTGACATCTTGATGGGCCTGCCACCCCTATTACAAAAATTACACAGTTATGTTTTAAACACAAATTGAGCAAAGATACAGTCGGCCAGAACTTTAACTATTGTGTGTAACGGCCAAGTTTTTGCCTCTCAGCGCCACATTATAGTACGAAGTTACAAAAAATTGCTTCGTAGACATGGGCTTTGTGGGCATACTTGTTCGCACCTTTTTTTAAAACGTAATTCAGTCTTATGACAAGTATGCAAAGAAAAAACTGCTACCCAAGCACGATAGCTAGATTTGGCTGATTGTACGTGACTGTACCTGTTTCATGCGTCAGGACATTGTGATACGGCACAAAGGTACAACACTGTACTTGTTTTGATGTTAAAATTGTGTTGCCTAATACTGTCACGTGTAACCTCCTGCATTGGGATACTGTGGTACGGTACAACTTTTAGGAATGAAATGGAAACAAACCTTGTAAGAGCCACCACATTATATGATTTAAGGCACCTGATGGATTGTATGTTTTCTGCATCATGGTGAAAATGAATAGCTGGAAAAAACATGCTTTTATAGTTGTTTAAGGTTGGCTTTGTGTGTTGTGGCTTTTGCACATGCTTCTCTTCTTGTCGTGTGCAGGTTAGTACGAAGCTGCAGGTGGCAGGTGACGGGGCTGCCGCAGCACCTGGCAGCCATCCTGGGGCAGCCACTTCCCCGCAGAAGCGCCCTGCCAAGGTCATTGACCTCACAGGAGAAGGGGACGACCTCCAGAAGGCTATTGCCCTCTCCCTACAGGAGCAGCAGGTGAGGGGGGTCGCTCTAGTAAGCTGCTACAGCTTTACCTGAAGCAAATTGTATGCAGTTATATTCAAACAGGACTGGTCTAAAGCAGAATGAGAATGCTACGCAAGTGTGCATCTTTTTGGGTACTTGTTCTGTTTGCCAACACAGTGCAGTGTGCAAAGAAAAATGTACTGCCAAACCAGTGGCTGTTGTTGCTTCTGTGGCTTCGCTACTTTCGCTCTACTGTACCACTGGTCTCGAAGGTCGCATAGTAAAGGCAGGCAATGTTGGGCACGGAAATAGGGGCTTGTAAAAATCCAATTTCACGTGCAGGTGATTTGAAGTGCGCTGACATAATGTCGACATTTAAAACATGATTTTATTTCAAAATAAGCACTTTCTTGGCACAAAACTAGCGCTTCGAAGTTTCTGGACTGCCATTTCAACAACAAACGTGAACTTAAAATTTGCCTTTAGTGTCCCTTTAACTGAAACATAAAAATAACACTTCAGAAGAAGACCGAAATATAAAAAACAAAACAAAAAGAAGGAAAGAAAGGCAATTTATTGCTAGTGGCAAACAAACCGACACCATTTGTATGGCATTATGTGGTGTACTGGCAGTAGACATATGGTGGCATTTGTATCCTCTCTATTATCTGGTGTTCATGTGCCGTATTTTCCAGTCTATATATCGCATCTTTTTATAAGTCCCACCATTCTTAGAAATGCAGTTTTTAAAAATATATATATATATATAAGTCTCACCGGTGTAATTGTCGCACCGGTGTACAAGTTGCCCCGGTGTGCAAGACGCACCTGCTCACCTGGTCATTTATTGTTGCATCGGGAGAAAGCACTGCCAAAATTCATGCTTGAGGTGGCCGTCGTGTTTGCAAGTTTCCAGCTGTTGGCAGGCAGGTGTGCGAGCACTTCCCAACATACATAAAAACAATATTTTCAGTCAGAAGTATTGTTAAATAATGCGATAGCCAGCAGCGCTCACTCAAATCCATAGAAGTCATCTCCTTTCAAGTCACTCACGAATAGCGCAGCTATTTGTAGTTGTACTTCTGGCACGTATTGCCCTCTGACTAGCTCCATTTGGACTCTTCAACATCGGCCACGCAAGACATAAAATCGGCCTTGTGAAAGCCCGCCAAAATGGTCTTGTCTGATATTGAATTTCACGTTTCACTTATCTAAATCTGCTCGTCTCATGCACCCCGTTTTAGGGAAGCTGTGTTCTCCCTCCGACATCCAGCTCTCTTTCCGTTCATCTACAGGTAAGCGTACCTGCACAGGTTACTCTCGTAAAGCAATTTCAGGTGCTTCTCTGTCTGGCTGTTTTCTGCGAAAAATCATGGTTATTTCAGCAATGCTCTTTGAGGCATGACGAGATCGGGGGGCACTGTTCTACCTGGAGGCTTAAAGGGTGAACAGCCTAAAGCCTGTGTTTTTCATTTTCATTGTCCCACTGAAGAAGACTTTGTACTGCAGTTCGAAATGTGAAACCGAGAACATCCAAAACTGTGTGATTTCACTACCATGGGTAACATTACAAACTCGTGTCTGGCTGGTGAAGCAGTCTCTCGTTTTGTGACTGTCTGCAAAACGTTCACTATTGTAGAAATTGTTTTTGACTTATGAGGTCGTCCTCCTTGGAAACAGCACGCACTTCATATTTTTGCCTGAAGTCGTAAATGAGAAGACTGCCACAAGTTTTTGCTTGATCACAATGCATAAGATCCAGGGAAAGGTTTTTTCAGAGATCTTTCCTTTGACGTTTTTGTATTCAGTATAACGTGAAACCTATACAAACGATGAGAGCTTAAAGGGGCCCTGAAACACTTTTTCAAGTAACCATGGAATGAATCACTCGAAGAGCTTATTGCCTCACGAATTCAACGGTGCAAAAATTTTGAAGATCCGTGTAGTGCGAGTGGAGTTACAAAGGTGTCGCATCCTGTGATTGCATTCTCTCTTCCCTCGTCCCGACGAAAGCGCTGGAAGCTAAGCAGGGAGGAATAGAAGGGGCAAACAAAAAACATCATGTGTGCTTCGCGATCTTGATCACTCTTCTTTTTTCTCTCTTCGAATGCGCGGCTTTTTCAGTGTGATCGCGCGCATGTGTGTGGACAAATATCGGCCTCCAGCGGCGATCTGTGTAACGAGCTAGCGCGCCATGTTCAAGTTGACGTGTGATTTTTGGGCATATAACATGATTTGTCGAGAGAAGAGAAAGTAATTTTTAGCTGACTTTAATAATTTATTCTGAATTTTAGGCCGAGTGATATGCTATATTTAGCTGTACAATGATGTACAAGTCTACGAGGTAAAAGGGCTTACTATTCAGTAAATAAGTAAGTGTTTACATACAAGGGTAAAATTACGCTGTCTGGATCTTAAGCATTTGCATTAATGGGTCCCACACATTCTTTAGCTTGTGGTAAAACTTGGAACTGAAGCTGCACACTTGTTTCCACGAGTCCATTCACTGGCTGTTTTGTTTCAGGCAGCTGGGGCGGATGGATTAAAGGTGTAGATTTTCAATGCCATTTCCCCATCTCAAATACTGTGCATTTCATTACTACGAGCATGCATTAAAGGACATACATGGGTCTTCAAAGTGTTCTTTTTTTAATTGGTTGAGTTAATGCAACAATATTTAAACTTCATGTATGTATTCAGTTATTTCTGCAGATTACAAATCTCGGAGTACATATTCAATAGTTGCATTAGAACAAGAGATCTGATATTTCAACTATGCTTTCTTAAAACATGATTCTTGGGGAATTTTTGTGGAACCTTAGTTTCATCAAACACAAAAAAAAGGTACGCAGCAAGATAGCAAGAAAGGTGGCCTAGCCAGTGATGCTGTTTATCTTTTTATAATGCTGTTTACCAAATTATAATTATTGAATATCCTATCAAAAATGTATGAAGCAAGAAATTTCAACTTGTATTTGCATCTATTTATTTTGCATTCAAAGTTCTATTAAAACATCAAAATTAGCTTCATAGGCTAGATGAACTCTCTGGTATTTTTGCCGCATACTTTGTTTTTGGGTTTCACTAATAAAAAAGTCGTTATAAAGCACCGTAAAAATGTGCTCTCAGCAATTGCGTATCTTACGTTCTAATACACATATAAAAATACACTCGAAGGTTTAGAATCTGCAGAGAAAAATGAATAGGTGTATTAAATTTTATTCAATTGAACCTACTAATAAACAAAATTTTTCAACAATTATTTCTCTTTTGGTCATCGCTTGACATCTCATTACAGCTGGTATGAAAATTGTACCTCCAGCTATCTCATGTTATAAGTGAAGCCATGCGCTCTTGCGCCCCTGTTGCACGACACATCCTATGGCATTCGCAACAGGTGGAGTTAGGTGGTAATGCTATATTTGTTGCTGTTATGTGGGCATTGTGAAGCTGATATTCACCCATTGAGTGCATTTTCCAAACTAATGTATAAGTGACAGGTGTAAGGTAGGAGCTTCGCAAAAATTACAAAACCGATAACTTGAGCGGCCCCTACTCCGCCATTACGTGAAAATTAAGCTGCGTCGTAGTTGTTCAAAAGTCTTCAACAACCATCTATCCGTAAGAACCTTTTGAAATGGAGCCGTAATAGTCGCACTTGTTGGATGATACAAAAGAGACCCGCTTTCATTTGGCTCTTCGCTTGTCGGCTCGTCTCTCCTCCTGGCAGAGGGCTCCTCCTCACCGTGCTGGGAGGAACAGCAGCGAGCACATGCACCTGCATGCAGATTAGTGTTTTTTTTCTGGGTGAAAGACTTGAGCAGCTGACATTGTTTACGTCATGGCGAACGCTGAAAATCCTGAAGAGTAGAAGGGATTGTTTCTTAAAATTAGTGGGCACTCGCAGCTCATAACGCAGCCGCATTTGGCATTGTTGACCGTGACTGTATTCGGAACTACGTGCTTGCATTAACTTGAAGTGTCAAAATATTATCGTAGGTGGTGTCAGGGCACTTTAAAGCAAAATGTAATTAATGTCAAAGTTCTTACTAATGATTTCTTGATAAATATTTGATGTAAAATGAGACATTTAATGCAATTTGGGTGACTATATTGTTTTTTAAATTCTCCACCTTCACGCCAGTGCCTCCTGTCTACCACGTTTACAAACACTCGTCTGTTCTTTTTCAATAACTCCTTCATGATGTTTTAGTGATGTAGTGCTGTATGACATCCTTTTGCCAGCCATAGAAGCAAACTGTGGTTTTGTCAGTGGACAATCGTAAGAAGCAAGAAAGCATGCTGGGCTGATGAACATCAACAATTGTGAATGCCGTGTTCTGTACCCGTGTCGACTAGGAATGCAACCTGCAGTGACATTTTGTGTGAATGCAGTTTACTGTAAATGATGTTATACAGTCGAGCCAGCTTATAACGAACCTGGGCGTGACGCGGCATCCGTTCGCTGTATCCTGAAGTTCGTAGTAAATGAAACACAGCTTTTAAAAAAAGTTGCGAGTGAAAACAAAAACTTTTTTTTGCCCCAAAAAGTTCGTGATGCACGTGTTTCGAAGAGCAGAAGCAACAAGGGCGGTCTCGAGTTCATTTAAAACAGCAGGGTGCTCGTTCACCGAGGCCCGTGGCATAAGCTGCATGAGGCACTGGCTCCAAAGTTTCGTCGTTCTCGCTATCCGATTCCTCCAAATCGCTCTCGCCCCGTACTTCATTCACAATGCCCCAATCCGTGCACGGTTTCGCAGTGTCGGCCCCATCGTCGGCCGTAATTAAACCACCGCAACAGATGTCCCACCCGATCTCCCAGGTCGGAGTCGACGACGCGCTGCCACAAATCTCCGCCGCAGTTCAGAAGCGTCAGGCCCGACATCGGGCCCGGCGTCGATGAAGTCGGCCTCGCGAAAACAGTTTCGCGCATGTAGCCGTCACCGCCGCCCATGAAATATTAACCATCTCCACGCTCAGCTGAATACCGGGACGCCCGAAGCGGCAAGTTGGCTGCCAGGTGGTCTATGATATGAGCAAGTGCTCCGCGACGCGGCACCTTGCGCGCCGATTACGCTCAAGTTAAGCGGCCACACTTCCGACGACGTTTTGTTGAGCGGCAGGAAACAGCGTGCTAGTCCTCCCGTCGGCCACCATGACCTCACACGCACACCAAGAGCGAGCAAGACGCGCACATGCGACACACATGCCAGAACGCATGGAACAGCTCTGGGCCATTTCCAGTCGGAAAATGAAACTGATTTCAGCCAGCGTGGCGGGCGTCGCGGAGCGGTGGAGACGAGCGAAGGGGTTGTGATCAAGAGAGGAGAGAAGACTTGCGAGAGAAGGGTAAGGAGTTGCGATAAAGAGGGAGGAAGATGCGGCGGGAGGGCGACCTTGAAAACCAACACACACGGGAAGGAGGCACGTTGGGTAGCTTGCGTGAAATGTCCGTGAAACTCGCACGTAGAAAAACTCGGAAAGAGTGCCTGCGTGCGGCGGTGTTCGAAGAATTGGCGGTGGGGGTGAAAAATAGTTTTGTTGCACCAGCGGGTTGGCGTGGCCTCACGAACTTCGATATTTCGCGATTCATTCTGCGCAAATTAACAGCCGATTTCGCGCTTCCGCACGCGCGCGGTAGGCATGCTGAGTTGAAGGCGAAGTGAGCGAGAACAAGTCCTAAGCACGAAATGAATTGCAAGTTACCAGAGTTGGTGGGGTAGCGTACACGCGTGCACTAGACGCCGAATATCGGATACAGTCGGTGGCCGACGATGTTGGTAAATGGTCTGGTCACTCCAGGTCGGTGACGCCAACGACAGTGCCAGCGATAAAAAAACAGGGTAGATGACCGACCGGTCTTCGAAAGATCGGTGGCAATGTGAAAACACGGGCCTCGTCTGGCGATGCGGGGTGCTCAGAGTAGCAGGAGGACAAAGGATGGAGGGGTGCGTAACAAAAAGCAGTCGGGGCATGGAGGAAGGAAACGGCTTTCCTTCCTTCATGGGTTGGGGAGAGCGGCAACTAGAGAGTCGCGGATGCAGGGTCGGCGTTTAACAATAAGAATGTATGGGCACTTCGCTGATGCCTGATCGGTGGTCGAAATCTGTTTCCCGGGAAGTCGGCAGACCGCTGACTCCGTTCGCTGTAACCGATCAGCGGCGCTCGGAGACGTTTGTTGTAAGTGCGATTTTATGCCAGTGAACCAATGTATATTTTGACGGTCACGCGGATATTGTTCGTTTTAAGCAAAAGTTCATTTTAAGTGGGGCGGTTATATGTGGGCTCGACTATATCTGCCAGATGACAGTGGTTTAGCGCAGAAGATGTGCTGAAAGGAACAAGCAAGAGCAGTGCATTTTTTAGAGTAGACCTGCATGGATGTATATCGGACAAAGCGTCCACGCAGGCCTACTCCACTTAGGCTGACATCGCCTAGTTGGTGCGTGTGGCGGCTGGCGGTTCTGCATTGGCATTTTAGGAGCAACCTTTCAACGACCCCTTTGAGCTGACACCTTTCTACAGCACCTTGCATGGCCTTGAGAAAGACAGAGATGCTTTTCAGGGATTTTTTTTTTGTTCCACGACAGTAGTTGTTCGGTTAGCTTGCATTTCCTTTCTTGAAAACTTAGCACTTGCCTCTTTCCTATTAACACTGCTTACGTCACGCCGATGCAAGCAGCTAGCAGTTCATATGCCCGGAGGTGCCAGGTGTATGGTGCTAAAAATATCAAGTCTGGCAACATATATGATTACCTTATTGTGAGATCAAATGACATGCCAAAACTGTGCATCAGCCCTCAAACACGCCCACTGCACTAGATACATCTTGCAGGCTTTACAGATTTGTCCTTATGAATGCCACTTCATTATCACCACAAATGCGTTATCTCTGGTTACGCACCCAGGTTGCTGGCGTCTCTGCGGAGGAACAGGACATCAGCCGTGCGTTGGAACAGAGCCTCGGAGGCAAGCGAAAGCGGGGCGCCGAGAACTGGTTAGACCCGATCAATCCCAACGATCGGCGGCGGCAGGGTGACTGGCCCGTGGGAATCAAAAACGTTGGCAATACCTGCTGGTAAGGGGTTTGGCTTGGATATTGTTCAAAGAACCACTGACATAACTTGATCGGTCAGCGTAAATTTTTCCCTGCCCACACTACTCCCATCGTATAGTCCACGAATGGTTTTAGATCGTAAATTTTTTTCATTTATTAGGGCTGTAATAAAACTCCAGAACGGTGAATCGGGAAGTTTCTCTTATCAAAGTTCGCTTCCAGTGTTTCTACTCGTATATTTTTGTATTCCTGTAATATTTCTAATATTGTTGTGATAGCCATTGTAAGGACACTCGGGCAATGTTTGTTGTTGCAGTCAGCGTCTGTGCCGCTGTGGTGTTCTGTATTAAGTACAAATCGGCAACATCACCCTATGTGTCGTATGTTCTACATGTGACACTGAGTGGATAGGTGTGAGTGCAGTCATTATACGCTGATGTGAGAGGAAACACGTCCATCATTCGAAGGGGCTGAGGGGTAGCTGCATGGCTGTGCACTTTGTTGAGCTGGCTGCGATCATGCACGCTTATCCCTACAGGGATAAGCAGGCGGCTTATACCTTGGTACGTGCTGGCCTCCTAGCTCACTTTGTGGTGATGTGATAGCACACATGTCGCTTTGCTTGTTGGTGTGGTATCTGTTTCCTTATGCTGATGCATCGCAGTTTAGCCAGATCAGATCTGAAAGTAGTTATCTGCTAGCATTACGTAACATAACGTTCTAGTTAGTGGCTGTTGTGATCATTGCTTCGCTGTTGCAGCGAAACTGGGAGCTTTGTTTTGCATTCACTGACTTTTTAAGAGAAACGAGTCTCCCCTGTTCCTCTTTGTGTAGTTTATTTTTGTAGCATTTGCCTCAGCTGCATTTGCCTCAGCTGCATCTTGCCAGTGCTTGCTTACGGGGCAAGAACCTCATCGCTTGCGAAAAGTGTTCAACATAAATGCGACGAGCCATGAAAAGAAAGAGGATAGGAGTAACCTTAAGGGACAAAAGAGAGCGGAAGGGGTGTAGGAATATATGCTTATCAGGAACATTTTAGTTGAAATAAACCCCTTAGCTGCTTTGGACGAGCGGAGCTCTTTTTGCTCAAGCTGTCGCCAAACTGTTTTGGACGAGTTGAACTCTTCCTAGTGGAATAGGTACTCCGCTCTAGCATTCAGGTGTAGAAGCGCGCATTTACAGCTTGCATTGCGTGTCATCCACCAGAGGGCAGCATTTTCTCGAGAACTCATTTTTTTCCTGTGGCAGGAGCGTGGTTTTTGTAGGGAAATGCGGCGTGCGGTGGCGGCGACACATGCATAGCTGGCCCGTGAACACGAAAAAAATGCTATTTGTTTTTGCAATCCTCTTGGAGTGATGACAATTCGAGTAAAGATATTTATCGTGTGCCCATAAGTGAAGACAGCGATGATAGTGAATTGAGTTGCTGCTTCGGTGATGATGAAGACGGCTTAGATGCAAACATTGCGAGTGCCCGCCAGTGAAGCCGCTTTGCATTATTCTGCATTTCGAAATTTTCTACGCAGCCCCCAAGCTTCGCGAGTGAAATATCCTGAGTGCTTAGCCTACAGAAATGAAAAAAGCTATGGCATCTGTAACTGTTTGGTTTATAAGGTTTTTAAATTTTATTAGCTGCAGGTAGCTGGATTCCTATGTATTGTTCAGAAATAAACTTCATTTCATTGATTTGACTAAGTACAGGGGGCAAATATTTTTTCAACATCTACTAGCTTCTCTTTAGTGCAATCGGATTCGAAATCAACAATAAAACAAAAAGGCACTTTTTGACTGGAAATTTTAAAAAGTGAGCAGTTAAGGGGTTTGAACCAAACGGGCACAGGCAGGGCATGTACCGAGAAGGCAGGAGAACCGTTGGTCATTGAAAGTGAACAGTCTCGATTCCAAGTGAAGGCAAGCGCGTGACGGGAGGGCAGAAAGGCAGGTGAGCCATTAGATTGCGGCCATGTTATGGCCGCAGAAAACACAGGGTCAAGGTAATTGGTGAAATGGGGGAGAGGCCTTTGTCCTGCATGGGGCATAGCCAGGCTGATGACGTAATATTGGCCTAGTGTTCATTCATTTCCCTTCTGCAATTGTATTTTGCCTTGTTAGTCATATATGAGGGGGGACCCTTTCCTGCAAGGACCAAATTGTAATCTACAGTGCATTTCAAGCAAATATTTAAGCGTAATGGTTCTGCTACAAGTTATTCATTAAGCAAAAGGCCGCTCTACCCAATAAGAATACTGTAAATTAATTTGTCTGCTTTTCTTTTTTCACTTGTTTTTTCCCTTTCAACGGTGTCGGCAACGCTCTTCAACACCTGTGTCCAGGTTCTCGGCTGTGATCCAGTCTCTGTACCACCTGCCCATGTTTCGGCGCCTAGTGCTGGCCTTTGAGCCACTCCAGGCATCTGTGCGGGACGGTCGGCCGCTGCAGGAGCAACGCAGTGTGGGCCTCATGCTGGAGCTGAGGGCCCTGTTTTCACTGCTGGCCGCCTCGCGACGCAAGTACGTCAACCCTGGCCGGGCACTCGAACTCCTGCGGGATGCCTTTGTCGGAACGGCAGGAGGGGCCGGCGGATCTCAGGTACACCTCACGATGATAGCTCTGCCAAGATAAGTCATGTTTGTTGCGCTTGGAACAGACTAAAAGGGGGAAAATTTTATTGCAATAGCCATGATGCAGGTGCTCGAGCTGTCACCATGGTCGTGAGGTTCTGTATGAAACTGTTGGGGGCCATTAATGAGTGCAGTTGTGACATTTTTATACAAAATCGCCACTGACAATATCTGGTGTAGTTCTTACTCAATGTGAGATGGCCCCATGTGTTCATGTTCTTTATACTTTATTTTGTTTTATTCAGAAAAAAATAAGAAAGCTCTTCAGTTAAGTGGAAAAAAAATGGTTTCAGCCATTTTGGCCCATTTTTCTTTTTGGCACTTGTGACTTGCTGCGTGAACAAAAGATTCACAAAAAAAACGAGTGGTACACAACACGAGCGCATGTTGTGTACTACATCTTTCTTCATGTTCAGACAGCGTTTCGAAAGTGCCGGTTATGTACTACCAACTATCCCCTACTCTGGCCTTTCTAACGTTGGCCCATCCCATACATCATATTGGCCCATCCCATACATCATGGTATTGCCACCAGCACATAGTGGGTCGACAGCAAGAGCGGCTCTCAATCTGGACAAAAAAGAAGATCGCGTGCTTCTTCTCTGCTCGAGAGCAAGCCATGACTGACGCATCGTCCTAGAGCTAGCTACCCAGTGGTTTAATAAATCCCCCCAGAACTTGTGACTCATCGTGACAAACTGGTGGAGGTGCTGGGTAGTCTCACGGATGCTGCAACCCCCCCACCCCCCCCCCCCAGAAGCCGTGATACGAGTCCAGTGCCAGTCAATACTGCCGTGCATCGGACCAGCCACCGAATCAGGGCATTGCCTTCGGAAGTCGACGATACTGCTCCCACCACGTCGACAAACATGACCAGCGCTTCGGTGCAAACCTCGTCAACCGGCACGGGAAGCACGACGTCGAACGGCTATACCTTTGAAAGCCCACGGGCACCGGCGACGTTCGATGCCACGGAGCACGAGGACGTTGAGGACTGGTCGGCAAACTCCAAGCGCGTAGCCACCTTGAATCAGTGGGACGACGCGGCGAAACTGGGTCGTGTCTATTTCTATCTCGAAGATGGGGCACGTACGTGGTATCAAAACCGAGAGGAGCAGCTTACGACGTGGCCTGAATTCTCTCGTAGACTTCTGCAGACCTATGCCAGTGCTGATCGCCAAGAACGAGCTATTCTGGCCCGCGTCCAGTTGCCAAACGAAACTGTGACCATGTACGTCGAAGGCATGACGCGCCTCTTCCGACGGGCCAATTCGAGAATGACGCAGGACAATAAGTTGCGTCACTTGATGCGCGGTGTCAAGGACCAGCTTTTTGCCGGACTCGTGCGCAGCCCTCCGAAGATGGTCGCGGAGTTCTTGTCCGAGGCCGTGACAATGGAAAAAATGCTGCAGCTGCGATCCAACCAATACGACAGGCAAGTCAGTGGCATGCCTACTGCCGACATTTTCACCGCCACTAGATTCAGCAATGTCTGTCTACGTGAACTCATCCGTGATATAGTACGTGAAGAGTTGCAAAAAGCTGGTGTAACACCTCATCTTACGGTTAGCTCTATTGCAACTGTGATCAAGGATGAGCTGCACCAGGCCCTCCGGAAAACCTTGCCTCCTGATACAGCTGTGACAGCTCCTGCTGAATACCGCTGTGAGACAACCTACGGGGAAGCCTTGAAACGCCCTGCTGCATCGCCGCCATTATTCGTCCATCCTGTTCCTGCTGTTTCACTCCAGTCAGCGCAGCACATACCGTACTACGAAGGCACGTACACGCCTTTTGTCCCTGGCGCTTCTGTCGCCCATCGTTCTGTGACACCAGTTCAGTACATCGACGATCTGCGCACGTCTCCTCGGAAGTATGATGTTTGGTGCACACCTGATCGCCGGCCTTTGTGCTTTCACTGTGGAGAAGCTGATCACTTGTACCGCCAGTGCCCATATCTCCGTCTTAAGCTTCGCGGCTTCTTTGCGTACTCACTGCCACCCCGTTACGGCCAGAGACCGCGCGACATCAAAAACGGCCTCTTCTAGCAGCATGCACCACTGTCTGCCAAGTGCCAGTCGCGCTCGCCATCACCGAGGCGATTTTCATCAACGCCCCAGCGGTATTCTACCACACGGACTCCCAGCCCCCGCCGGGAAAACTAGCCCAAGCGACCTCTGGGGGCGGGGTCGCTGAACGCCGAAGCGCTGAAGACCTCCTATTGACGCAGAACCGTTCAGAAACTAGTCCGGCAAAGGATGGCCGACTTTCACTCGACATATCAGTGACAATTGATGGTTGTGCAGTTAATGCGTTAGTGGACACCGACGCCGACTATTCGATACTGAGCGGGAAACTGACAACGCAGCTGAAGAAAGTCGTCACACCGTAGCATAACTCGCAGATTCGGACAGCTGGTGGCCACGTCGTTACTCCACTGGGTGCCTGCACAACTAGAGTACAGATCGAAGGGTATACATTCGCAGCAAGCTGCCTCGTTCTACGCGAATGCTCCCGCGACGTCATCCTGGGAGTTGACTTTCTACAGGAAAATGGAGCTATCATTGATCTGCAAGAGCGCCGCGTCACGTTCTCAGCCCAGCGAGCAATCAACGTGCAGGATGACGGAAGGCGTGTCGACGTACTCCGTATTTCTGAACAGAGCGTGACGCTTCCTCCACGAGCAAGTGTTCTAGTCGACGTAACATGCTGTGGTTTGGGCGATGGCAATGTGGGGGCCGAGACAAATTTAGAACACCTCCTGCAGCAAGGCATTTGTGTAGCTAGAAGTGTAATACACCTTCGTGATGGCCGATCTGAGTTGCTCGTAACCGACTTCAGCAACGAGCATCGACATCTGTTCCGTGGTCCTTTGATAGCGTTTGCCCACAAAGTAGCAAACATCACCAACTGTCTCATGTCAGAACTAGTGGATACCACCGACACGTCAATGAGTAATATTGACATCAATCTTGATCTGTCCACCGATAACCAGACTGCGCTACGAGTGCTCTTGTTCGAGTTCAGGTCTTGCTTCGCAAGTTGCTCAAAGATCCGCCAGACGTCTATCACTCAACACAGGATCATCACGTACGAGGACGCACACCCGATACACCAGAACCCCTACCGCGTGTCGGCTAAAGAACGTGAAGCAATACGTACGCAGGTCAGCGAGATGCTTGGCGATGGCTTATTGAACCATCTAACAGCCCGTGGTCATCTCCAGTCGGTACTTCTCAAAAAGAACGGGTCGCTACACTTCTGCATCGACTACCGAAAGCTTAACAACATGACCTAAAAGGATGTGTATCCGCTGCCACGTATCGACGATTCACTGTGTAGACTTCGTTGTGCCCATTATTTCACTTCTCTCGATCTCAAAAGCAAGTATTGGCAAATCGAGGTAGATGAGCGAGACCGTGAGAAAACAGCCTTCGTGACTCCTGACGGCCTATACCAATTTCGAGTGCTCCCTTTTGGCTTGTGTTCAGCGCCAGCAACTTTCCAGCGAATGATGGGCACTGTCCTCACAGGGCTCAAGTGGCAGACTTGTCTTTTCTACCTTGATGATGTGGTGGTCTTCTCTACCACGTTCGAGCAGCACCTTCACTGCCTACGCAGTGTGCTGGAGGCTATCCGATCAGCGGACCTCACACTAAAGCCACAGAAGTGCCACTTCGGCTATAAAGAACTAAAATTTCTTGTACATGTAGTTAGCGCCGAAGTAATTCTGCCCGATCCAGACAAGCATGTCGCTGTTGCCGAATTACCAGCTCCTGTCAATAAGAAAGCCGTCCGGCGCTTTCTTGGTTTGTGTGCCTACTATCGCCGGTTCATTCATGGCTTTTCACAGATAGCAGAACCTCTGACTCCTCTCACAAGGGAGGACACGCCGTTTGTATGGAAAAACGAGCAACAAGCAGCTTTTGATGAGCTGCCACAGCGCATGCAGTCAGCGCCCGTTCTCCCTCATTTCGACAATGATGCTGACAAGGAGGTCCATACCGAAGCTAGTAACATTGGGCTCGGTGCAGTGCTCGTTTAGCGTCAAGAGGACACCGAAAGAGTGATAGCCTACGCCAGCTGCTCTCTATCCCGTGCCGAGGCGAATTATTCCACTACGGAGAAAGAGTGCGTCGCAGTCGTGTGGGCAATCACCAAGTGTCGCCCGTACCTTTATGGTCGTCCCTTCAAGATAGTGGCAGACCATCACCCGCTCTGTTGGTTGGCAAGCCTGCACGACCCTTCAGGACGGCTAGCACGGTGGAGCTTGCGGCTGCAGGAATTTGATGTCACCATCGTTCATAAGTCCGGCCGTAAGCATGAAGACGCTGACACAGTCACGCGCACCCCTTCATGTCCTCAGTCGGGAAGCAGAGGAGGACTAAGGCTTCCAGGGCGCCGTTAGCGCATCATCATCATCATCAGCCTGACTACGTCCACTGCAGGACAAAGGCCTCTCCCATGTTCCTCCAGTTAACCCGGTCCTGTGCTTGCTGCTGCCAATTTATACCCGCAAACTTCTTAATCTCATCTGCCCACCTAACCTTCTGTCTCCCCCTAACCAGCTTCCCTTCTCTGGGAACCCAGTTAGTTACCCTTAATGACCAGCGGTTATCCTGTCTACGCGCTACATGCCCGGCCCATGTCCATTTCCTCTTCTTTATTTCAACTATGATATTGCCACATGGTTTGCTTGGGTGAGATCGAAGAGTGAAAGAAGACAAAGACGATCTCTCTGAGCCGCTGCTTGAGTAGTCGACTAAACGAGCCCATTTTTATCAAGTTTGTCGAGAGTAACGTGACAAGACTGGTGGAGGTGCTGGGTACAACGTCTCGCAATCCACCCGATGCTCAAGACCCCGTCCAGCAGCCGGAACACAAGCCCTGCACCCGTGGACACTCCTGTTCATAGAGTAAGCCGCCGTCAACGAGGCCTACCCCCTGAGACACCCAACCGCTGACGCA